ATGCCAGATAGGAAGTATTGAGAAAATGTGAGACAACCAACAGCAATACTTGCTGGTTTAATGACCAATACGCTTGTCCAAACGAATAAATATGCTAATATATCACCTGTTCGTTCATGAACCGATCCAATACCTATCAATGAATATACATTGAAATTATTTGTCAAAATTTAGTCATAATTATTCTTCATGTTTTTCTTGTATATTTTACCTTCTTTCAAATAAGCTACTTCTGCGCCATTTCTCGGTATTATTGTACCAATTTCTGCATAGCAAAGTGCTCCTAGAAAAGATACAAATATGTAGTTTAAATGAAAATATTTCTATAAAGTATACCAAGTATCGAAATTAATCCGCATGCAGTCCAAACAATCAAACAAAGACCAACTGATTGTGTTTCTTGTAAAACACCTTTAGGAGAAATAAATATACCAGAACCTAATAATAATATTAAGCAATTGATAATAAAACAAAAAATAATAATATATAATAAGTTACCAATGATGATACCAATAATAAAGCAGACTCCTGAGAATAAACCAAGATGTCTTTTCAATGTGGGTTCATCTGGTATTAACACAACTTTTAATACATTTGATTGAACATTCGATGTAATTGATACATGTTGATGTTCAATAATAGGAGATTGATCAGGACGATGACGATGAATTGAATTAGACTCAGCTAGACAAGAAAATGATGATATAGATGTTATCCAATTATTTTAAATTTCAAGATAAGATACGGCTCTTTTTTTTTGAATTTATTATTCTATGAAAAATTTTGTTCTCAATATATCTTTAGCATGTGATCTGAATAGAAAATTTATCAATGTAATACTTTAATACATTTATAGGAATATCTTTGTTAAAATCTGAATGTCATAAATATTCATGCTTTAAAGTATATATGTTATTGTATCAAGATGATCAATAGCAACAAAACAGTCATCATATATATTTGTGTCGTTTTTCAAATTATTGAAGACTCACCCATAATTGGATCAGATGGAGTGTATATGACCATGTCAATCTTATCAAGTGCTTATGATTATATAAATTATCGACATTTTAAGATAATCTTTATTTAACATTCCTTATGATAGAAAAAAAATCACAACGTCTTTTTTCTTATCTTTCCTTTTATGTTAGAAAGTCAAGATGATGCAAACAAAGACATTAAATGTCGAACGATGGTCTTTAATTTTCAAAAAAGGTACAGCTGAATGTAGTAGTGTTGTTTTCTTCAGCAAATACAATATAGGAGATGCATTACAAATAGATATAAAAATACAAATAAAACTTAAGAGATAAATATCAAGGACTAAAAACCAATAGAATTATCTATTGATCAAAATTCATGTCAATAGCATCATCTATTATTTTGACGAATCGGTCGTATAGGGCAACAGAGATAAAAAACAATGGCATGAATTTCAAGGTCGAATTCTACTATGTAAAGCAATCTGATGGCATTCAGATGGATAGGTTATGAACAAAATTTGAAAATAGGTTAAGTTTATTTTAAACGTGAGTTCATAAAGTACATTACCAACAGATATCCTTCGTTCGAGTTCATATTTTTTTTCCATAAATAGAACTTTGTAAGGCTAGAAGAAGAAGACTACAAAGATTCATCACATTAGGCCTTTCTTCTAAAGTTAAGATTGTTTTACTATAGTTTCGACTTCTGGTTGGGTATTTATAGAAAAATTAACTGAAGGTATTTCAACGTTAAGTTTTACTCATACATGAGTCTCATATTCCTTCTTGAGACATTAAATGTTTAAGAAAAGTCGATTTTTATGACTCTCTTTTGTGAAATACGATCGTGTTTTGAACATTCTAGCAGTGATCGAATCTATGTATTTATCAGTGAAATTTCAGGTCAAAATTCCTTCATTTGATTTCTCTACAAATCACTTGCCCGAGGCTGATATTCCAGTGTAATAAGTCAGAAAAAAAGGACTGATGGGACGAATCTGTTTAGAGTTTTTCTAATTTCACAGAATCCTACTTATGGAAAAAATATAACACAAACTGAAGTTTATTACTTGACAATATGCCTTCATTCGTCAGATAGAATCCGATAATGTTTTGTAATATTATGGCAAAGTTAAAATAAAATAAATATTCACAAATTATCATATACATGTTCTTGCCATCTTAACTTAAATTTAAGGTTCAAAATAAATTAAGAAAGCAAAACCAAAAAGTTTGATCGTTAAGAATAAATCAAAAAAAGTCTGAATAGGAGATTCTTAAAAGGAATGATTTAATAAATATGACAATAAACAACGTAAATACCTGCATAAGAAATTCATCGTTCAATATTAATTTAAAAACAACTGAATAGAATTAGGAAATCCAAATAACGAACATTATAATATCAATTAATGTAACTTATTCTAAAACAATATGATTTATTAATAAGAGACAATGAAAAGCTTCCGAATATCGATAATAACTTGTGAAGAATGGTCATGATTTAAATAATTTTTAGGATGAATGTCGACACGCTTCGAATCATATAACTATTCGTATCTATTTTCGATCTACCATTTAAAAATAATTCCAATCAAATTGATAATAATCAAAAATTTCAGTTAAAACATTCTACTCTTCATTATGACTCAATTGTATTGTTCTAAAACATTATTCGATTAATTCTTGAAGATTAGATGCCGTCAATAATTCAACAGAAAAGTAAACACAGCATTATGCATGTAGAGACATTTGATGAATTCCAATAATAAAGTAAAATGACCAACAAAGATAGCTAATTCAATAAATATTTTATAAAATATAAATTTATTCTATCATACAAATTAATAAAATAGGATTCCATATACAAATATTGGAATTGCATTTTTCAGTAACGAAATTTCGTATTGATTTTAAGATTTTTATTTTTTTTGTTTTGCCTTCTTCAAAGAATAATAGCTAGAAAATTCAGTACAGTTTTTAAATAAAGCAAAAGTGTAACTGGACGACTCAAGAAGATTCGAGAAGGAAACAACAGGCTTCACGAGATTTTGATAGAGTTCCTGTAATTTCAAAAGATTTACAAGAGAAGGTCTCCCAACTGATCCAAGCCGTTTCTAATGGTATTTTATCCATATGCTGGAGATATTATTCTAAGAAAAATTCTAAGAGGATTTG